AGATCTGAAGTTAGCCTTATGGGTTTTCCCTTGCAATTTGGGTACTTCTTTTGTCTTGCTGCTTTTAGGATTTTTTTATCACTATATTTTGAAAATTTAACTGTAATATGTCTTGGTATTGGCCTGCTTTCATTGATTTTGATGGGTGTTCTCTGTGCTTCCTGGATTTGGATGTCTGTTTCCTTCCCCAGATTAGGGAAGTTTTTAGCTATAATTTCCTCAAATAAATCTTCTGCCCCCATTTTTTCTCTTCTTCTAGGACCCCAATGATACAAATGTTACTATGTTTGATGGAGTCACAGTCTATTCTCATCATCCATAGTTCTTCTTTCTCTCTTCAGCTCTTTTCTTCTTTGTTAAACTTCATTACTTTTCATTATTCTATCCTCTATATCACTTATTCAATCTTCTGCTTCTTCAATCCTTGTAGTCATTACATTCAGATGGTTTTGAATCTCAGTTACTATATATTTTCATTTCTGATTTTTTTTAACTCTTTTATCTATGTGGTAAGAGTCTCCCTGATGTTGTCCATGTTTTTCTCAAACCCAGTGAGATTCTTATGATTACTGCTTTAAATTACTAACATCTGTTTTGATTAGATCTCTGGCTGTGACCTTTTCTTTTTCTTTTTTTTGGGATGGATTCCTCCATCTTGGCATTTTGTGTAGGTCTCTGTCTTCTTCTCTGTGTCAGAAAAGCCTGTTGTGTTTCCTGCTCTGAAGAGTAATGATTTTATGAAGAAAAGGTCATATAGTGTCCAGGCCCTGGTTCTTCAGCGAGGGTCTCTGGTGTGTGCCTGGAGCACCCTGCTGCTTTATTTCAGCTACTTATCCCTCAGGTCAATCATCTGCAGAGGCTCTTCTTGCCTGCAGTAGACAGTGTTTGGACTTCAGCCAGAGTGTGGTGAGTTTTAGCTAAGCATGCTCTGGTCTACTTGTTAAATAAGACCTGATGTGGAATTGAAGTCTTGCAGAATTCTATGGTCAGTAGACATTTTGTGTGCGGGGGTTTGTGCTGGTCTTCTGGGAAGGGGCCTGCTGCACTGTCCTTAAGCACACTTGCCCAAGAATACCAGCAACAGCAGAGCACAAGGGATGGGCCTTGGTGTAAGTAGGTTAGGCAGCCAGTGTTGGTGCTGTGCAATTTACTGAAGGAGGGAAATGACACCAGCCTGCTCCTTTATCCCTGGGGAGGGATCTCTGTGCTTGCTACTCTTGGTGAAGCACTCCCAGAAGAGTGAATAATTTCTCCTCATGTGTCTCATGTGTTTTTCAGATTGCTATTTTCATGCAATCTGTCTCTAGGTTGCTTGCCTGCCTGAAGCAGTGCAATGCCCTTGGGGCTTTATCCCAGCCAATCCTGTTGACTTTTAAAACCCCAAACTTTAGGGACATGCTGTGGCAGGGGCCTGAACTGGTCTCCTGGGGGAGGGTTTTGCAGCACTGGGATGGATACAACTTTGACCAAGAAAGGCAATCATGCCAGAACATGGGAGAGTAGGATTTGGAGCAAAGCAGGCTAAACAGCCAGTGTCTGGTTAGTTGCTCTCAGCAGGTGTCTCTGTGCCCATGCTGAGGGGCAGAGGAGGGAAATGGCACCTGCTGACTCTTTTGTCCCCAGAGAGATGACTCTGTGAATGCCACCTTTCACAGATAAGCTCCAAGAAGAGCAAATAGTCCTGTCCCCCTGCCCCCCACTCCTCCGGCCATGCTCCTTAAGTGATCCTCAGATCATATTGTCTGCCCTGGGGTTGCTTGCCTGCCTTATCTCCAGGAGTAGGGCAGTGCTTTTAAGACTATCACAGCCAAGCCTGCCAACCTCTAAAACTCCATTCTTTGAGCCCCACTTGTTGCAAAAACTCACGAAAATCAGCCTCTCTCATTTCCCAGCCAATGGCTTTGGGGAAGTGTTCTCTTGTGTGTTCCCCTGTGTGTTCCATTCTCTCTGTGACCACAGCTCCCTCCCCTCCACGGCACCTCCTATCCATTTCTCCCCCAAACTGCATCACCTCAGAGGCGATTTAGTTAAAGGAAGTGGAGTGTGGGGCTGTAACACAGATGAGGACCTCATCCAAGGTCCCTTTTCCCCTTTCACTTTAACCAGGGATGCTGCTAAACAGAATGTTGCCTGAAACAAGAATTTGGGGGGTGGTTGCACCAGTTTTTTCCCCCCAACTCTTCGCGGGGTTGACTGGTCAACTCGGTGGAAAGTGAGGACATCGGCCGGAAGACGATGACGAAGAAGGCGATGCAGGACTCCTAGACTGGCACCAGCACAGTTGCAGCGAAGATGATGTAGCCAGCACCATGGGCTGATACACCTCGGCTGCACGGACAGGTTGGCCACTGAGGGCTGTGCGACCTGATCATCCCGTGGTGGAAGGCAGACTCTCACACCTCCATCTCCAAGTGAAAGGATGGCCGAGGCATGAGGCCAAATTCTCAGGGGTCTCAGGATGCCAGTAGACTGGGTCTGAGGGCAGCCCCCAAAGCAAACCCCTTCCCCATATTCAAGTACCCTTTCTAGTCACACATATTTAGGACTCTCAGATACAGTGTGGGTTAATCAGAAATGAGGGTGTATTACCCTTGATGATTTCTTAAAATTAGAAAAATTAAAAATGATAAATGGTGTAATAGAATTAGAATCATATCAACAGTACAATCTTTTTTGCTTTTTCTAAATGTTTTCCTTTTGATATATAGGCTTAATTATTTTCACATGGTTTCTTACATTTATATTAAGGATATATTATATGCCTACTAGGGATATAGTAATTTAAATAGATGAATATTTAATTATAACTTTTTAATTTAAATGCCATTACCAGTAAAGTTTACTTACTGTGAGATGTTTTGGGAGTTGGTGAGTCAAATTCTTTTAGTCTCCCTACAAATTGATCTCTACAGAGACCATGATATCTCTTTATGCTAGAGGTTTAACTGATGGCACCCATGAGCCTTTATATCTGTTACAAGCCCTCTTCTACATACATAGCAAATTAGAATACATCCATTATCATGGGCTGGAATTAGCCACAGCACATTTGATTCATATTATTAACATGAGCCCACATGAACCAGTCAGCATTCCAAACTGATATAAGTAACAACAACAAACCTTAAAATCACCTTAGTCAGTAATAGGTTTTCAGTAAAGCAAGTCAGGATTATTTTACTGGGTTAACATAAACAGCCAAAGTCCTATTCTTTCCTTTCTTGCTGCCCTTCAGAAATGATCAAGAGGGAAGCATAATCAAAGTCGTTGTGAACCAGGCTCTCTTCTATACCTTGTAACATTTGCAACTCTGACAATGCTAATTTGCTAATTACTGATTTAAATTCCTTTCCCCAGAATTAAAAGTCAAATTATAGGTTTCTGAGAGATGTTTCTATTTATTAGAGCACATCAGGTTACCAGTAAAACAAAACAGTGTAAATACAGAGCCTGTTATCTTACTGGAAAGATTAGAAGCTTTATAACCAAATGAATTTAGGTCAGATTCTTCTTCTAACAATTATACCATGGCATTGGCCAGCCTTATTTTCACATCTGTAAACTGGTAATACCCTCTATCTTGTAATGTTATTATGAAGCACAAGCAAAAATGTATATAGAAAGTTGGGTTTTTATTAATAAATAAAAGTTGCTTAAGATACAATAATGAGAATTTTTTTTTAAGATTTTATTTATTTATTTGACAGAGAGAGATCACAAGTAGACAGAGAGGCAGGCAGAGAGAGAGAGGGAAGCAGGCTCCCTGCTGAGCAGAGAGCCCGATGCGGGACTCGATCCCAGGACCCTGAGATCATGACCTGAGCCGAAATCAGAGGCTTAACCCACTGAGCCACCCAGGCGCCCAATAATGAGAATTCTTAAGCACATTCCACTTTCTTCTGTCACTATCAGAACTACACTTAGTGAGGGAGACATTTTTTCACCAACTTAGACTTAGTTGGGAACATAGCTGTAGCCTCTAAGGAGACATGATGTGGCAATGTTACTGGTCGTCTCCCATGCCAGATGAGACCAACCCAAGTGAATGAGTAGTATTACCTTGAGCTTGTATCATTCTCTATTCTGTAAGTCTTCCCACTCCTATTTGTAATGTTCGTTACTACTCTTGAATCCTTGTTTAACTTAACTACATTCTCTGTATACTTCTTTTTTTAAAGATTTTATTTATTTGGGACGCCTAGGTGGCTCTTTTGTTTAAGCAGCTGCCTTCGGCTCAGGTCATGATCCCATCGTCCTGTCCTGGGATCAAGTCCCGCATCGGGCTCCTTGCTCAGCAGGGAGCCGGCTTCTCCCTCTGCCTCTGCCTGCCACTCTATCTGCCTGTGCTCACTCCGAGAAATAAATAAATAAAATCTTTAAAAAATATATATTTTATTTATTTGTTTGAGAGAGAGAGAGACAGAGATAGCGAGAGAGAGAGAGCATGAGTGGGGAGGAGGGTGAGAAGCAGGGGGCCCAGTGCAAGGCAAGGCTCAATGCCAGGACTCTGGGATCATGACCTGAGCAGAAGACAGATGCTTAACTGACTGAGCCACCCAGGTGCCCCTGTGTATACTTTTTTTTTTTTTTCCTGTGTATACTTCCTAAGGAAAGTTCCATATTACCATGTCATCTTTCCTTTATATTTGCCTAGCAGTGTGTCAGATATTTAATTATTCATTAAACAGATAAGTGAGTGACTACAATGGAGCTAGGCCCTTATTCCAGATGTTGGATATGTGTCAAGTAATAAAATAGTAAAAAATTTATGCTTTGTGGAGCTTAGATTCTATTGCACATAGGAAGTACAGAATTCAATTCTGGTTGCATTATAGGGACAAAAGGATATTTTGATCTTTCATCTAAATTTCTTGCCAGTTTAGCTGGAAAATTAAGATAAGTAATTTGATGGATGTGCTTTCCAACTTTGCAGTATTAAATACACACACACATATGTATACATGAGAATCTCTACATTATCTCTTGTTAATCTTTCCAGTATAAATAGAATTTATGACTTGTTTTAAGAATGCATATTCTTCTAATCATCTTTGCCTTCAAACTCATAAGCATATTATAAATCCAAGAGATTTTACAATAGAATCTTTTAATGGTTGAAAAATAGTAAAAAGAAGTTTTGAACAATAAAATGAAAATTTATACCATTGCAGGTTTGCCTTTTTAAACATGGCACAGCTAATCTTTAATATACATTTATAAAAGGCACCAGATGTTAACAGGGTAAAGAATGCAAGAAATAAAAACTGAGCCACTTGCCCCAACTTCCTTTTTGTACCAATGTACACATTTTAAGGCAGATGCTTTACCGTGCAAAATTCAACAGAAGAAAATCAACATCATGTTATAAGTCCACACATTCTCAGATTTTTTTCAATATCATTTGTTGGGATGTTTATGATAAAGCATATTAAAACATTTTTTCCTAATGAAGCTTAAAGAGGTTGATGAACAATTATTAAAAATTATTTAGCGATTTCATTATAGACCCCTCATAGAAGATATAGAAAATCAATCTTTTTTTCTTGTTTCTTCTTTCAGAAATGTCCATATCAGTTTGTTTACTATGTCAGGTTGTTCTTGCTGAAGCCAATGACTGACTTCTGACAATATAGTTAGCCTGAAATAATTTTTAACATAAATCTTTGTGACTTCAGCCATCTCAACCTCCATAAATGCGTCTTTCTCTCCCCACAGTAGTAGTGTTGGAATGGTCACCATGTGATGTTTGAGAGGCAGGCAGCTATGAAAACAAAACACGTGGATTTGAGACTCATTGTAAAAGTTAAAGTAACATTTTTCCGTAATGTTCCTTTAAGCCATATAGTCTCAAAGGAAGCTATATCACCACCAATGGGGTGAAAATCGATTCTTGTGAGAGGGAAAAAAAAATTATTTTTTAATGTATAAATCATGAATATACACATAGTACATAAACAGATATTAAAATTTCATGGGGGGGTAAATTAGGGAAAAAAATGTCTAAAAAAGCTCCTTAAGGAGGTGATGATGAAAAAATGGTTGAGAAACACGGTATTCTGTTGAGAAACAGGCAATCAATCTATACAATAAAAAATTTAAAAGGCTATTTAAGAAAGGGCTCAATAAAATTTTTAATTGGATGAGTGCAGCAAAATTTATAATGAAGGTTATAAATTAAATATGAAATTCATCACTATGAAGAAATTTGCTTTAAAAGGATACCAGAATTTCTGAATTGTGTGATGAAAGAGTTTTAAATGGTGTTATTTTAAATATATTTCAAATTGTTTGTTAGATACATAACATTTTATGTGAAATTGGAACTGAAAATTCAGAAAATATATACAGCCTAAACTTTACCATTAAATGACACTATATTTATTTTACAAGGAGATTATTTTTAAACAATGATTTATTGTGTATTTTCTTAAATAAAGTATAAAGAACAAAACCATGCATAATTCCATCAATAAAAGATAAACTTTTGGTTATTTTCTATGCATATAGTTGAATAATATAGAAAAATGTATATTATAAATATATTAAATATAAAGATATATTTATTTATATATTTATATATAAACATACAAATCATATTATAATAATTTATATTTCTATATAACTATAATATATGCAAATAAATAGAATATGTAAATAAATGTAAATAAACTTGCAAAATACATGTAAATTAAATATATATTTAATTTTAAAATAGTTATAATATATTTAGGTTATATTTATATTTTATATTTATATTAAATATATTACATATGAATGTATTTATATTTACATATATAAATTATATAAATACATAAATTATATGAATATAATATTTATATGATATTATATAATATTTATATTTATATAACAATTATATAATATATTAATATATTATATTTATAATATATTTATAATATATATTTATGTACTTATACATTATATATTTATTTATATATTATATATGAATATAAATATAATATAAATATTAGTGTATATTTATATATTAATAACATAATATATAACATTATAAAATGAGAAAATTCTCAAGTTATAATTCAACATGAAATGTGAGTATGGATATTGTATATAAATTG